TCATACAGCATCTTCCTGCCATCGTACTGAACAATCAAAACGTTAAAAGATAAATTACAATACAGTCCTGTTATCTATCTTCCTTTAATTGTGGAACAATGCAGAATGAGCACCAAGAGCAGTGTTATGGCATGGGAAAGAATGTGATACACAATGCTTTGGAAAAATTCATTTCCCTAAAGTTTTAATAAGCCAGTATGACAGGAACTCGACAGGAGATAAGAGTATATGTGTCTAGACTAAGCAGTAAAATCTTGGATAATTAGGAATGATTGAGTGTAAAGGTCAGCCTGAATCAAGAACAAATAGAATTTTAGAATACAGCAGTGAGCTGAAGATTGGGCACTCAGGCACCTGCCACCTTCAACCACCTGAAACAGACCCTGTGGATCAAGAATTAAGTAAAATGCTTGATCCAGCCCTAGAGCGTGAAAGGAGCCAAGATGAAACTCAAATACACAAAGGGACCTGTAGTCTAGCTCATCAACTCGGATGCCCTCTCGTAAAGAAATCGAGCACAACCTGTCCACAACTGCCTGCCCAGTGATGCTTGTCTACATCCTCTTTATTCCATGCAGGAAGGCCACCCACTCAACAGGCTGAAGGCCCCCATTCTTGTCTCCTGGGAGGCCTCAGCTTGGATACCTGTCCTCCTCTGCCCTTAAAAGGGATCTCCTCCGTCGCAGTGGCCAGATGTTTGTAGCTAACAAGCATCCCCCTGTTTTCTGCCTTGCCTGATGTTTCTAAAGAGAGGGTTCTCAAACAGGGTTATTTTTATTTTTTTAATATCTTCCAAAGAATTGCGAATGATTTCAATTTATGGATGGAATGCAGCACAACAGAAGAGAGGCTTGAAGGCAGCATTTTGCTCTCCTAATTCAAATACTTTTTCATCATCAACAAACAATGAGTGCAGCAGGGCCTTACACTCTCTACATCTTTCAATCAGTTGCAAAATGATAAAGACATGACCCATTATTGAATATCTCTTGTGAAAGCCGATTTGTTCCCTACTAATGCTCTCATTAAGGATGCCCTTGATTTGTATATACATGATTCTCATAAAATATTTCATAAAGATGGAAGAATGATCATCTGTTGGTAGTTGTTGATATTTCGGGAAGGCACCAATTATTTTATATTAACAAAAGTCCAAAATTGTTTCCACACTTTCGGTATCTTTCCCCCTTTAGATATCTTCACATTGGTCACCAGTGCCTCACAGCTACTTCTCCTACAGCACAGATCACATCCATAAACCTTTGGCCCAATCTGGCTTCTTTCCCCATCTTTATTCTGCTTAACACCATTTCTACATTTCCTACAAGCGCCTCCTGGCCTACGATGTTAGGCGCCGCTGCCCTTGAAGGTGAAGGTATGTTTGTCATGGAATTCTCCGCAGAACATCTCCATTGTTTTGTCTACTTATTGTCCCTCCATTTTTGTTTTTGGACATTCCTGGGATAATTTAACTTAGCTGGATCTCTTGCCAAACTTTCTTTAAATTGGACTTGTGCTCTGCTGCTACTATCTAGTTTATATAAGAACATTAACCATAAGCATGCAGCTTCCTTCTTCATCATATTTTATGAGTAAATGTGTACTTTAATATAGTTTGGCATGAATAATTATTTCAGTAAATCAGGCTATGGACCTTTTTATTGACCTCCCCTGTGCCATATCTTTTTTCCTCATTTTTAGTCTTTCCTCTAGCTTTGCACTAATTCTGATCTTTCATCTAAGAAACCAGTGGTGTGACTATACCCAAACAGTTGATTCAGGAATGACTCCAACATCAGCAACAAGTCATTTCCTGCCTCTGAAAACATAATCAGGTCCATTCTTTGTAACGTTATGGTGAGTTTGCCACATCCAGTGTTTTCTGACCCACTTCATTTTAAGAAAGAATTTAATTATGTAAAAGAGTATGAGGTTTCTGTGGAGCCGATAAGGCTTTGGCCTCTCTTATTCCTGATTCCTATTTTCAAAAATATTTTCACCTCCCCTTTGCAAACCAGCTCCTGGCCTCATCACTCAAATGAGCCTGCTCTCTTAATTGTCATTGGGTCTTTTCTCACTTTTCATGCTCCTCATGCTGCACTGGACACTTCTGACCGCTTAGTCTCTCCTCTATGGATTTCTGCGACACAACTTTCTTCTGGTTGTCCTTCTATTGTCTAACCACTCCTTTGGGCCAGCTCCTCATTCACATCTAGCTGCCTAACTGTGGGTGTTCTCCCAGGTTGGTCCAAGGCCTTCTTCTCTTCCCTCTCTATGATCTCTCCATGACCTCGTCATCTCCCAAGTGTTTAATCACTGTCTCTCTGCAGATGACTCCCAGATCTACAGGGCGAGCCTCAGTCTCTCCCCTGAACTTTAGTCCCACAACACTAACTGCCTTATTGAATATTTCAAAATGGATGTCCTGGAGACATCTGAAACTCAACTCACTGTCTTTACCCCCAAATCCTCCCTCTTTCAAACTTCACTAATTCCACTGAAGGCACTGCCATCCATCCAGTCTCTGAGGTTCATAACCTTGGCATTATCCTCAATTCCTCACTCCTCTTCATCCCGAGTAACCAATCAATTCCACGACATATCTCAGGCCTCCTCCCCAGTCAGCAACCGTCTTGTTACCTCTGACCTCAATTCATGCAAGAACCTTCTATTGGTCTCCTTGCTTCAAGTCTCTCACCACTCCATTCCATCCAACAAATTACTGCCAGAATGATTTTCCTTAAGCACAGGCCTGGCCACATCACTCTCCTCCTCAATCAATTCCAGTAGCTCCCTCTTCTAGGATCTAAGAGAATCTCTGCTCTAGGATCAAACAGAAACTCTATTTGGCTTTTAAAGCCCTTCACAACCTGGTCTCCACCACCCTTTCTAGTTTGGCTGGATACTGACCCTTATTGCACTCTTGTGAGCCAGCCAAACTGGTGTTCTCTCCCACCTCCATCTCCTTGTCCTGCCCTCCATTATACCTAGAATGGACTCCCTCCTCCCCTTCACTTCATAGACTGTATCTTCCTTCAAGTCACAGCTCGAGCATTTCCTTCTACACAAAACCTTTCCTGCTCCACCCCTCTTCCCAATGGCTGGTGCCTTCTTTCCCAAGCTAGTTTATATTTATCTACTTGGTTTTTGTTACCTTTTACACTCTACATACACTTTTACACGTGCTTTTTGTCTTGTCCTTTAGGACGCGAGCTCCTTGTGAGTTGGAACTGGTCCAGTCTTGGTGTCTGTATCCTCAGTGTCCAGCACAGTGCTTGTGGATTAGTTGACTGATTGTTCTCATGTCTGCATTGAAGATTTAATTTGAAAGTTCTCACCAAATTCATGAAGGAAGCGTGCTGGTACTCCCCCGGTGATCTTTTTACAAACGCTCACCAGGAGCCTCACAATGTGAGGTGGCCCAAATGTTACATAAAATGTGTTCTTGTTATTCTGGTCTGACCCCCAACTCCTGCACTTGCCAGGCAGGGAGATTCTGGAAATCATCTTTCCACGGAGCTACATGTTCCTCTTATCATCTGGTTTTGTAACCGTAAGAATGTCAAGATGGAGATGCTTCATCTCCCCTAGGATTATGTCCATACACTAATCGCTGGATCAACATACTATATTTAGATTTTTAAGAACTATGTTTCCAGGCAGTCTAAAACGTGAGATTCTTTGAGGCTTCTAATCTCTTTCTGTCACTAGGCCATAAAAAAAGGAGCCAGGAGGACTGAGAGCCATTGTGCATTTGTATTTGTTTCTTGGGTTGCCGGAACCAAAGAATTAATTACCAAATGACCAGACTAACTGTGGCAATTTCCCCCTAGTGTGCTAGGTGAGTGCCAGAGTTTGTCGCCAGGAGCGGACTCCAACACTTCCCCGCACAGTAGAATCTATCAGAGCTCACGTTCTGTCAGCAGAGCCTTGAAGAACCCAGGATCACAGGCAGCTAGGTGGCGCAGTGGATAGAGCACCAGCCTTGGATTCAGGAGGACCTCAGTTCAAATCCGGCCTCAGACACATAACACTTACTAGCTGTGTGACCCTGGGCAAGTCACTTAACCCCACTGCCTAGCCAAAACACAAAACCAAAAACAAATAGTGTATATCAAATTCAAATGTACAATGAAAAGACTACTTGGCTTAAAAGCATTTCATGTGAGAAAGAGCTATGAGTTTTAGCAAACACTCAGCCCAAGCTGACAGTGTGAAGTGGCTTCCCAAAAGTTAATGTGAAATTAGGCTGTGTGACTAGAAATAGAGATCCCAGAACAAGAAAGGCAACAGTGGGTTCCACACTCTCCACTTGGGCTGTGGGTTCCTATCCGGAAGCTGCTTTTGAAGAGGAATACAAAACAACAGGCACCAACTGAGAAAGCAGAGAAGATGCAAAAGAGGGACACCAGGAAAGGCAAGGACGCCATGTTACTGAGTCACAGATGAAAGAAGGGAGGGTGGCAGGCCTGAGACAGGAAAGACCAGCAAGTGATGGAGTAGCCACCATAACCATCCAAAGGCATGCCAAGTGCAGAGCTCCAAAGGCAGCAGTGGGGGTGGGATTTTGTAGGGAGCTAGATTCCAGCTCAGTGTCAGAACATTTTAGTAATTAGGGGGGTTTAAAAATGGAATGGGCCACCGTGGGCAGTACTGAGCTCCACATCACTGTAAGTATTCAAGGAGAAAGTGGCTCCCCGTTGAGGAGGCTGTGGGAGGGGAGGACAGGAGGAGAACACTGCATCTGATGTTCTCTAATGTACCTTCCAACCTCTCTCTCCGGTCTCTACCATATCCTGCCCGAGTGACCCCGGTCATTTCATGTCTCAGTGCCCCCAGCAACTCTCAAAGGTTCATGTTGTGGAGCAGGGACCAGACTGCACTGGTAGAGGAAGGACCTCCCTGGGAACTCCCTACACCAATTAAACACAGTCTGTTTAAAATAAAATGCATTCTCTCATGTTACCATAGTGTTCTCCAGATCACTAGTGAAAAAATACCTGTTGTTTGCTTGATTGAACGTTTAGCAGGCACCGAAGTCTTTTAAGATCTGAGTAGTCCCTAGGATAAAGAATAATAACATAAACTTAACAAAGCTGTGTCTGTGAATAGCTGTAAAGGTCACATTACCAATTACTGATGACATTACCCCCTGGCATGGTGACTTTGTACCTTCAAACTTGTACGCATGTTAGGACGCCTGACAGCAGCACAAGTTTCAGTCACTTTGGTGACCCACAGTAACAGCTGCCAGGTGACTCTAACCACATTTTTCATTAAGGAACCAAACTTGAGCAACTGGTTTCCTTATCAAGGAGTAACTGCTTAAGCCAAGCCCTTCCGGGGCTCAGTGTACTGTACCTAGTGGAGATTCCTTGTTGCTTCTTATCTGCTGATTTCTCTGTGGTCTTCACCTTTTTGTCTTGATCAGGCATTGTAAAACATCAGTGCCCCAGGATTAACATTTCATTCCTTTAAAAGCAAGAAGAGAGAAGAGAGAGGAGAGAGGAGAGAGGGCAGAGGAGGCGGGGGGTGGGGGGCGGGAGAAAGAGAGAGAGAGAGAGAGAGAGAGAGAGAGAGAGAGAGAGAGAGAGAGAGAGGAGAAGCTATATGTATGTGTCTACCAAATAATTCAAAATAGCAAGCAAAATCAATTTAATAAATAAAAAAACAAATTTCAATTCCAAAAGAATAAAAAAAACCAATCATTTCCAAAGCACTATATAAAGTACAATATTGTTACTACCAACTTATATTTACTTTGTATATATTGCATAATCGTCTCTTACCACATCTACAAATATTATAGGATGGTCTATGATATTATGATACACAATGCTTACTGGAAACTGAATGTTGCAATTACACCACATCTCCTGTTACCACCTGCCCAGAGTATGAGCTTTCTCTTCACTGACCACCTCCAGGCTGTTGAGAAAGTATCTAGACTACACACAACTGGAGAAAAGTTGAGACACCTAAGAGATGTAAATGCTAAGAAGTGGACTACCTGATAGGCCCTCTCCTGCTTTGCCTTCATGGAGAAGCACCACAGAGAGCTGAGAACAATATACAGAACTGTTCCTTCAATTCCACCATTCCTAGAACTCGTCTGGTCCCGGAAGAAGCCGGCATGGGCCCTGTCTAGACAGCAGAAGTCCTGGAAGAAGTGGACCGGCTTGAGAGGCATTGCAATAATTCGGGGCATACCCCATTGGGTTCAGATCAGTTGCAATGCCTCACTTCAGGAACACTTGCAAAAGGGCCTGTTTGAATTTCTGAATTTTCATCCTATTGCTATAACTTCTGCATTCCCTGAGATTCAATCAGAGCACTTCTTGGGCACCTGGATGATTCTGTGATCTCCTTGATAGGCTGATTGTTGCAATCACCCAGATCACCCCTCATCTGTGGCTGTCCAGCCCATGTGCCTTGGGACCCCATGGTTTTCTCTGTAAATGCTCCATGACGGGGATGTGGGGGGGAGAAAGGGACATGAAAGCATCCAGGGACTTCCTTTAGCACCACTGACATCGAGGGATGAAGTCCAATGGTGCCTAGACTTTCTACTGCCTGCTCCTCACACCTTACCAATGGCCAGCTCATCTTTTTCCAAGTCATGCACTTTCCCTATGACATACTTTAAGCTGCTCCTCTCACACCCTTCCTCATCTGAAATGTGTCACAGGTGCTCACACCCACCGTGCATGCCCACTGCTCTCTGAGTCATCCTTGACCTCACTTATTCAAAGATGATGGCATTCCATGACCAATAGCCACAAAATATCACTAGAAGATGTTGGTCATTAAAAAGAGGGGCCTTAATTTCATGGAGAGCTTGGAATCATTAAGAGAACTCTCCTATTTCCCAGAGGCAATTCATTCTGCTCTCCAGCTTCTCAATTCTGGCCCTGGCTAATTATCTAGAGTACCTGTGCAAGATATAGGTATCCATATATGTAATTATACGCTATGTATACATGCACACACATACATATATACATACATAAAAACTCTAGAGATGTCCATCCGATTACATGCCACAGTTTGTACAAGAAACATCCTTTAGGATCCTTTAGTTTCACACACTTATTGGGTCATAGATCTCATCCCGGAAGCAAATCTGCACCACTGGCTTCCACTATCACCTCCATGCAGATGATCCTCAGATCTCTCTATCCAGCCCTTACCTCTCTCACATCTCCAACGGCCTACCGGACATCTCGACATAGACGTTTCACAGACATCTTAAACCCAATTTGTCTAAAACTAACCTCATTATCTTTCCCTGAAAACCCTCCCTCTCCCTAACTTCTTTATTACTGCCAAGGGCACTACCATCTTCCCAGCCTCCTTGGCTCACAAGCTATGTTATCCTTGACTCTCACCCCAATGTGCAATCACTTGTCAAACCCAGTCGTTTCTGCCTTCATAACATTTCTCACACAGACCCCCCCCCCTTGCCTTTGACACCGCGACCACCCTGGCACAGGCCTTCACCACCTTATAGCTGGGCTTCCCCAGTAGCCTGGGGATTAGTGACCCCATCCCTCGCTCTCCTCCACACGGCTGTCACACTGATCTTAAAGCACAAGTCTGACTGTGTAATACCCCCAATTCAATCAACCCCAGGGGCCCCTATTAAGTCCAGGACCAAATACAAAAATCAGTTTGGCTTTTCAAGCCCTCCTAACCTGGCTCCTTCCTGCCTTTCCAGTCTTCTCATATCTTCCTCCCTTCCACATCCTCCAAGCTCCAGTGACACAGGACTTCCCTGAGTCTGAGCATTTTCACCAGCTCTTTCCCGGGGCCTGGCATGCCCACCCTCCTCATCTCTACTTCACGGTCCACCGGGCTTCCTTCAGATCTCAGCTAAAGTCGCCCCCTTCTGCCCAAAGCCTTTCATAGCCCTCCTTAATGCCAGTCAGTCCCCTCCAAGCGCATCTGTCTGAGCCTTGTCTGTGCGCCGTCCTGTGCGTGCTGCCCCCCCCGTCAGACTGGGGGCTCCTTAGCAGGGGCTGTATTTCACCTCTCTTTCATCTTTACCTGTTTAGCACAGTGTGTAATGCTTAGTAGGCACTTCCATGCTTGTCAGTTGACTGTTGCCTGCTTGGCTGCCTCTACGAATCTTCTGGGATGGCATGTAATGTCATCAATACAACGGAGCATCTGGAGGACCTCGCCATTTATGGGGTATCCTCCTCTGTCTCAGAATCACACTGGGAGCCCCTGTGCAACAATGGGGAACAACATGGACAAACACGTATCCCCCTACTTTGTACCTTGCTTGATGTTAATAATCAGTGGGTTACTGGACAAAACTGACTTGGTTGCACTGCCTTTCAGGGAATCCTGTATGATTTGGGGATGTGCATAGCAGACACCTTGTTAGAAGAGCATCTTGAAGGCAGGGGTTCTTAACCATTTTTGCATCACATTCCCCCAAAGCCGAACGCCGTGAGAGGAACAAAACCCTGATGACTGGGTCTACTACAAATTCATCATATCGCAACCGGAGCCTTAATGCTGCACAAAAATCCTTTATTCTTTCCTTACTGATTCTCTCTCCAACTAGAGCTGTTCTAAACCTTCTCTTTCCTCCAGCTCCACAGGCAATTCCATCAATCTCCCCCCTTAGAAGATGATTGCCTCCTACTTTACCAGGAAAATGGAGGCCAGACCTTTTGCACCCTCAATTCTATCGTCTCCCACCTCTACTTGGAGCTGCCCTCCTCTCTCTCTTCAGACTTTTATCTTCAAACTCATTTGCTATGGTTTACAAACATGTACAGATCTCCCTCATCCTTAAAAAAAAAAACTACCAATCAATTACTGTAGATTTAATTATTGTTTTTATACAAATGACTCTTAAATAATTCAGGTCTCATCTGTCTACTGAATTACTGTCCCACATCCCCAACTCTCTGCCGGACACTTCCACCTAAACATCCTCAAAGGTGCTTAAAAATCATCAAAACCAAAGTAGAACTTGCAACTATCCCCCTATATTCACTTGTCTTAGAAATGTCCCTATTTCTATTGAGGACCATGATCCTCATCAGCCGGCTTCACAACATCTCTCCCTAATCTCCCATCTCCACACTAAGGCCTGTGAATTCCACCTCAAGGATGACTCTCCCGTCTGGCTTCTTCTTTCCACTTGCTCAGACATCACACCCTCGGTCAGGTCCTCATCAAGCACCTATGACACAAAGCCAGGCGAAGGACACAAGAGAATAGAGAGTCAAGATGCAGAAAGCTTTCAACAAGCTAGCAAGATAAGGTCCACACTAATCCAATAAAATACAATAAGGATAGATGTACAGTCTCACACTTGGGTTCAAAATAATCAGCTTCTGAAAAACGACATGGATGAGGCACGGCAAGCCAAAAGTTCATTTCATAGAGATCTAGGAATATAAGTGCACTGTCAACTCAATGAGTAACAATATCATTGAGTAGCAAAAAAAAAATGAATGGAGTATGAGCCCTAATCCCACTGTACTTTGCTCTGTTCACTCACATCTGGAGTTTGGCATTCAGTTCTGAGAATCATCTTTTGGGAAGGACATTGGGGAGCTTGTGGAGTGTCCAGGGTAAGGCAACCAGGATTGGAAAGGATCTTGAGATCATCAGACATGAGGGTCAGCCGAAAGAACTTAAGATTTTTAGCCCAGAAAAGAAGAGGCTAGCTGAACGATTAGACAGCCTCAAAGTTCCATTTGACTCTGAGCCACTGTCATGAGGGGGATGGTGAATTCCGTTAAGGAGGGGTAAAAGGATTGCCTTGCCTCAGGAAGCGCCCAGCTGAGATGGTGTCACAGATCTGTAGTGGACCCAGTGAATGGGTTTTCACTATTTTCTCCAGCTTTGTTCAACAGCAAAGGCAGTGGAAAGTGGGAGGAGCCCAGGGCTGAGGACTGGATGGCTGGTTCTTGATTTGTCTTTTCTATTACTTTTCACCCAGATGTGTAACATCAAAGTATGCATATGATGAAAGGAGGGAAAAATGAGCCAGAGGACAAGAGCTGCTATGTGAGGTGGGCACAGACAATGGAGGTGTCCAGTGTCCTGAAATGTCTGCTGGGCCTCCCTGGCCTTCTGATAGTCCAGCAGCCACACACCTGAGGGGACATGGAAGAGATGACACTGGTGGGCTAGCTGATGCTGTGTGGGGGTGCAGGGCTGGTGGCCAAGACTACTCAGGCACGATCACAAAGTCACCTGGAACATGGATGAAGATAAATGCCTGGGTTCTATCTCCAGCATAGATACAAAGGTTTATAAGCAAAGACACAGACAGGTCATGGGGCAGGGTCTTGGCACAAAAACAGCCCACGGGCCTCCAGACGCTGATCATGCAAATTCAGCCTATAGACAGCGATAGATGGTTCCCACATGGCTGACTTCTCTCTATCTGCTGTTGAGTTGTTTCAGTCTCTATCCCTCTTTGTGACCCCTTTTGGGGTTTTCTTGGCAAAGATACTGGAGTGGTTTGCCATTTCCTTCTCCAGCTCATTTGACAGATGAGGAAACTGAGGCAAACAGGCTTAAGTGACCTGCCCAGGGTCACACAGCTAGTAAGTATCAGGCCAGATTTGAACTCAAGATGAGTCTTCCTTATTCCAGGCCAGGCACTCTAATCCACTGTGCCACCTAGCTGCTCTTCTCTCTATCTAAACCAGCTCAATTCCAATTTCCTGGCAATTTTCCCCGACTCTTTCTTCCTGGAAGCCCTGCCTTTAATTAGACTTCACTTTCCCAGAAGGCTGTTCTTATATGAGTTGACCTCCAGTATGACTCCATCCTCCCCCTGACATTCCCCACCCTGGTTGGCCTGTGAGTGTAACATAAGGAAGAGCCTCAGTTTTGGATACCAGTAGTTCAACAGAGTTTATGTTACACACTGCCCCTAAAGTTTTCATTGTTCCTAGATCTACTGGCCACCCTAACTGGCTTCATATTTCACCTTCCAGCACACTGAGTCACAGATGACTGGACCATGCCCTATGCTAAATATAAAATACTATGTTAAAGTAATCCCTTGCCAACTAAATTGTGAAACCTGAAAAATTTCAATTCCCCTCAATCAAAATGAAGTCATTTATGCTATAAATTCTAGCACAATTAGGCCGAATGAAGTATTAGGCCAAATTAAATATTAGGAAGAAAGTCACATGTCTTTCACACCTTCTGTTCAACAGACTTACCAAAAAACTCTATTATAAGTAAATACAAGAAAACTTAACAGCTCTTAGGGTGATGATTCTCTTTAAGTGAGCTCAGGTAATACTCATTTATCTGGCATCCTAAGAGAATTATGTTCTACATAGATTAATTTTCCAAATTCCTGATTCCTTTAAGTATCAAGCTATAAAAAAAAACTTGACCATTTTAATGTAGATAATATATTTAGCCTATCTTCTTAGAGTATCAAGAGGATAAACTTAACTTTTTAACGAGTCAGGATTGATGATTTCTACAATAACTTTTAATCCAAATTCCTGTGATGCTAATAAACACCAGTTATTATAATATGCTTAAATATTGTGATGCTCTTTAGGCCTATTGAGTTGAATAGGTCCATTTGCCCTTATACTAAATAGCCCCAGAAGGAAATGCTTTACTCTTTTTTTCTTGCATTTTTGAGCCTACTTTTTATTTTTTTCTCTCCTTCCTTACTGTCGTAATATCAGTAGTAACTGGACCTTTCCATTCCTGTTTCTAATTTACCATGGGCCAACATAATTAGATAACCAGACTTAAAAGAGTTATGTCTAGACAAGGAATAATCTGGATTTAAGTGGTGGTCTGATTAGCTCTCTTAGACAGAAAATGCACGAACTTCAGTTCACAGACTTTGTGACACTTATACTGGTGAGTGAAAGACCTTTTTTGTGTACTTCTGTCATCTAGGCCAATGGTCTTCATATAGGGTATAGACGAATAGTAATACGGATTACAGATATTGTTACATTACCCATTTCCCAAAACTCACCCATTTTCCAAATTTCCCTATCACTCTCAAGGGGACTGCCCTCCTTTTAGTCACTTGAGTCACCACAAGCTCTCCCTTTCCTCACTCCATATTCATATGCCAACCAGATGCCAAGTCTTGTCAATTCTATCTCCATATCTCTTACTTCTCTCCCCTTTGATTTCCATAGCCACCACCATAGTCCAGACCCTCATCACTTGTCTCCTAGACTGATGCGACAGCCCTCTGCTTGGTCACCCTACCTCAAAAGCCTCTCCTCAGTCCAATCCATCTTCCATGAAACTGATAAAATGATTTTCCTAAAGCATACATCTGACCATGTAACTTTTCTACTAAATAAACTCCAATTCCTACCTATTAGCTCCAGAATCAAATATTATTTTCTCTTTATCTCAAGATTTTTTTAAGGTAGCTAGGTAGCACTGTAGATAGAATGATGGACCTAGAGTCAAAAAGACCTTAGTTCAAATCTGGCCTCACTTACTAGTTGTGTGACCCTGGGCAAGTCACTTAACCTCTGTCTCTGTTTCCTCATCTGTAAAATAGAGATGACAATAGCACCTAGTCCCTAAGGTTGTTGTGAGGATATGATGAGATAATAAAAGTATTTTATAAGCCTTAAAGAACCGTATAAATGCTAGCTATTGTTATTATTATTATTATTATTATTATTATTACAATTTTTGTGTGCTTTATAATGTGTATCAGAGGAGTCAAATGTGTGGCTTGTACTCTCCAACGCAGCCTAAATCAGATTAAAATGTAATTGGGAAATATTTAACAAAATAAATAAAAATACAATAAAACATGGATAGCATCACATTTTACATCCAAGTCAATATGTGCAAGGATCCTTTTGTACGGATTAGTGGTTTCCATTTCTACTTCAGTCTGATAGTACTAATGAACACAATTATTAGTACAATCGTATATCATTCATAAATAAGCTGATACACACATAGGGATAACATTCTCAAAAAAGATTGCCAATGAGATGAGCAATCAAAGAAGTTTGGAGATTACTGTTTCAGAGTATATTATGAAAAACTGAGGTCACTAAGGGAGCAAATCCTGGATAAATAAGGTGTTATCATACTAATAGTTCTGATAACAAGCAACATAATAGAAGTTAATATAGCCACGTAACAACAAAACATTCCAAAAATACATTTTAAGCATGAAAGTAATCATTAATAACAATAATAATATTACACTTTATCACAATCCATAA